AATACTTTTTATTTCTTATAAAAAATTTCAACCGATTAGTTTTTTCCTCTTAAAAACAGAAACTTACAGTGCTTTTCTACATATTTTTTACGCCGTTTGTGTTTTTTGACTTAAAAAAAGAAAAAAAAAAAGGTGCAAATAATGAGGTGGTATCAACTAGGGTAGAAAGGTAGCCGTTGGTATTTTGTTTCGTCAAACAAAAGGGCATTTATTATTTCCATTTTAACTTTAAAATAAGCATTTTGGGAATTGGCTAGTGGGAGAAGTAATGATTAGTGAATAGATTTTGACGCCCTACCCTTACCTCTTTGGTCTTTTCAACGAGGATCAAAAAATTAGGACCACGTTCCATCCATGCCCCTCACATGGGCCCCGCGATTCTCGGCCTCGCCCCACAGTTATCTTCCTCACTAGTGGTACTACTATTATGAGGTTTTTTTTTTTTTTTAGATTATATTAGAAATTAAAATAAAAATTATTAGATGAGATAATAATTTTTAGTATTAAAAGATTTATTTTTATTTAATGAGTTATGTTATGTGGTTTAATATATTTTGAAATGTATAATAATTTTTAATATTATTATTAAAAAAATTATTTTTAAAAAATTATTTTATTTACATTAAAGAATTTAGAGTAAGATGCCAACAACTAAAAGTAATTTAGTAAAAGAAACTAATTAGAGATTATTTATTTGAATAGTATCCCATGATGAGGTAAATTACGGTATAGAGAAATAGAAAAATATTGTCTTTTATTATGGAATTTTAAATTAATTTATTAATAAATTGGTATTTAACCACTTACTGATAGCCCTAAATAGTTGAACAAAAATTTTAACTTAAGTGCTTAATTCTTAACTGTTTGAAAAGTATAAATTTATGAAATGCCCATTTTCAAATAATTTGCAGCAAAATATAATCACTAACTCTAAATTGTTATACCAAGTGTGTCTTAGATTGCTGTAAAAGGTGCCCTATTTGCAGTTGGACGACTCTTACTTCTTGGCCTTTGGCTTTTGATGGCCATGTAACAGAGTTTCATTATAAAATCCCACTAAATCTATACCGCCTCAGAGTATGCCCTCTAATTATTGATCATAATTCAATTCTTGATAAAGATTATTGACATATCTTTAATTTGACTCAATATATGTATATGTAAATTAATCTCGGATATCACTTTAACCAAAATGCCAATAAGAAAGAAATGCAAGACCAATTCAATGTTCCAAATCATAAACAAGACATTAATTTATGTCTTTGTCATGTAAATGTATAATCAATTCTGTAAAGGGCAAACGGCTGTAAAGCACTGATGGTTTTCATGTGAAAATAGATCACTCTTCCGTATTGCTTTATGATAGAAAATGTGGAGGGTGTTAATGGAGTTTCAAATTATAAAAGATATTAATTGAGAACGAAAATTACTTATATAATTTATTCATCACAAAAAACAATAATGTTTAGGGCACAAATAAAAAAATTGGTCTCTATAAAATGGACAATGTATGTCAAGGGAAAGCGACTCTGATGTCATTTTTGCAGGACCATTTTTTTATGATATCCAATTGAAGGAAAACCCTAATTAAGAGTCCAGAACTTATGGTTGTGAGTTCACCTTCATAGGCCAAATTGTAGGTGGTGATTGTGGTGGTCCAAAAAGGATTGGGTAGCACAACAACTGTAACTGTATATGCTAATTTCAACTTAGTTCATTTGGTATGTAAAACATCAATACAATAACTCAAAAATAAAGTTTTTAAGTTAGTAGGTAACTTAACGAATAATGTAAGAAATCTAATGGAAAAAGAAGAAAGTCTTCAATTTTAGGTTAGATGTAGTTTTCTTGTAGTAGATGGTAAAGTAGACTTTGGTTAGGACTTAGAAGCATTTTGGGATGTTTGGGACAAGAAATTATCATCAGGATTATTTATTGCCACACAAGCTTTCATGAAGAATAATGGGATGGGACATACAGGCCATATGCTTAAGCACAACACATTGTCTATCCTTTTCATATCTCCAATAATTCCCATATCTTATTTTCCCTTCGACCGATCTGAAGTGCAGAATTATTGTAACTTCACAATCAACAACAACACTCCCAATTCCACCGCAAGTGATCTCTCAACTAATAAAAGTTTTAGATTTCATATTGGAAATCTTTAAATTTTAGATTTTGAGACCAGTGAAACGGGGATTTAAAAAATTAGAGAGTTATACTTGTTGTATAACCCATTCATCAATTATAATTAAAAAAAATAATCATAATTTCATTTCCAAACGTGGAAGAAATAACGAAGTGCTGGTAACTGTCAGTTTTCGTGCCTAATGTGGAAGGATTATCGGTTGGGGCATTTAGTCAAACATTGGGCATGCATGAAAACGGGTTGATAACAATATAATTTTGGGATTTTATGAACAATAATGAAATATACAATAAACGATAGCAGAAGGTGTTTCACACCTGTAATATCTTAATCAATTAAGCATCTATAAAAGATCTCTCTCTGTTTTTTTTTTTTTTTCTTTATGAAGTTATCTGAAGAATATTGGTGAAGGGGCTACAATAATTGGTTATAACTGAGCCCGAGGTATAAAGCAAAATTCGGATAAGAGAAGAAGAAAAAAGAACCAGTGCTACGTGGTGGTATAGAGACCCCGAAGGAAATTGATATCTCAAAAGGCCTGCATATATATTTTTGTGCCAAACTGTTGCGTCTTGGGGTCCCCTCTCCTATAATCTAGCTAGGTCTGTTACCATCAAAGCTATAAATGGCTACTTCCCCCCACACCTTACTTTCAAGTCTTTGATTGGAATTCCTCCAACATGAGATTGATGGGTAGGGTTCTCGTGCAAGTGTAATAAAAGTTTTACATCAAAAATATGCGATCAAAGTATGGTATATATAATATATGTATGTGAAAATTCGAGATTTAAACTTAGAACTTTCATAAAGCTTGATTTATCAATTACGTGATCACTAAATCAAAACTTTATCAGTAATATTAGAGAGAACTTAGTCCCCTATCGATATAGGGGGGAAAGCGTAGAATTTTTGAAGGACCAAGAAGGCTACTAATCAAAACCAAGGGTAGTAGATTGATAATCTAAATAAGATGCTGTAGATTCCAGTTGGACAAAGTTCTATGTAGTCTGTGTCTAGCGAAGCATCACTCATTTGGGGGTCCCAACTTCTACTTACAAAGAAGTTCCCACTTCGTTTGCTCCAAAGCGAAAATTCCTCCTTCAAAGTCTTATAAGGGCCGTGGGCGTCAGCATGACTATAACATGACACAACTAAAGGAGAGACAAATGCCCAAGTAATAAGATTAAAACTAAACCGAAAAAAATTTTATAGAATTTTTTATTTTTATTTTTTATTCTTTACAAAAATTAATTCGTCGAATGTACAAACAATTAG